TACAGATACATGTGGGCTCACTATTTGGCAAGCAACCGGTCACAGTTGCCCTGTTTATCTCATGTCTTATAAAAGCTTATTAATGATTCATAAAGTGTTCACAACCTAATTAATACATGAATTACAAACTATTCGTAAACCCTTTATAAGGGTAGCCTTATTGTAAAGTGGTACCGCATTGGTCTTACCTTATTGTATGATGAATCTTTGAGTTTGATCTTACTAAAGTGTTTCTTTGCATATTCTACAATCAAGCACAGTTTAATCCTCCGTGTTCTCATAGGTTTTGAGTCTATCAATAACAATATGGGTTACCACTTAACTCAGCATGAAAGTGCAGCCTCAAAAGAATCAGAATGCCATTTTTAATGGTAAGCTATTGGATTCGGACATATGGTTTGAATGTACAGTCGAGATACATTTCCTTACGCTTGTCGTCAGGGACAGTCACTGCTGCTCAGCCAGAGCTGATTTATGTCAAAGGTTAAATTGAAACCTTAAGTGCCTGATTTAGGGTGAATCATTGGCCTACATCAAGAGACATGCCTCAGTTTAGTGTATTCTTGAATTTCTCTCCCATGGTCCATATCATAAAGTCCACCAAGGCTTTCTAAACGATCCTTTGGTGATATTGTGTGTGAAGATGCATTCAAATGTTTTTTTTTAAGGATTCAGACAACGAAAGTTTGATGTTGACCTTGACTAGAGGGTTTCAAAGGTTTTCCTAATCCTCTTAAGAGTTCATGGGAGTTATTTAACACATGGAAGGGCATGTTATCCTTTATATGAAGAGAAAACAAGAAGATCATCAAAAATATCCGCATGATAGTAGTCATAGATTATTGTAACGAACCCAAACCCTAATGTGATTGAAGATGGCGCCAGGTTACCCTGCTGTGTCTGATGTAGGAGGCACTTTATTAAACTTTATTTTTGTAATTTACTTTGACGCTACTGAAAATAAATACTTGTCTTAAACCCTGAAGCACCCAGCAGGGGGTCAATTGTGAAAAGCTGGTGTGACGGAGTGTACCCCGGATATTTGTTTTAAACTCTCTCAAAACACAGAATTGTGAAAGATGCATGTATCCCAGGACGAATTTACGAGAAAATAAAAAACGTGTTTACATTTGGTGTAATAATGCAGCCATTGTGATACAGTGTGGGATTTTTTCCCTTCAACTTGAAGCGACTCAAAAGGTCAAGAGGGGGAGCTGATGTAAACATATGATAATGAAACAAGACAGATTCTCTCTGTGACGCAAGCGGTGTCTCCGTCAGAAGGTCATAGGGTTTTCCCCACCCTCGGGTGCTATTTCCTGCTCTAACTGTCTCATGTTTGGTTACTTCCCTACCTCCTTTACTNTCCCTAATTGGTGACTCACTCGTCATCCTGAGTTTGTGTCCATTGTTCTGAAAAACGCTGATCTAGGTCACGGGCCGGATTTGGCCCGCGGGCCTTGAGTTAGATCAGCGTTTTTCAGAACAATGGACACAAACTCAGGATGACGAGTGAGTCACCAATTAGGGAAGGCAGGGTTAGACGTTATCAAAGGCTGTTTTTGTTGTTAAATAAATACCATACACCAGCAGAAACACGCTAACCCCACCTCAAAGCCCCGTGTTAAAGGATGATGCAGTGGGGAAGCTTCTTTGCAAGAGGCCTTGTAAGGTTTATAAGGGTGGAGAGTAAACTTAATGCAGCAAAATACTAGCACAGTCCTGGAGGAAGCCTTGTTGCTGTGAGAGTGTGAGAGAGAGCTGTAATTTGGGAGAGGATTTATTTCCCAGAGCAGCAACTACTCCAAACAAAGTCAAGGCTACGCTGGAGAGCCTACCAAATATCAACGACATTAATGTCCCGCTGTGGGCGAGTCAGAGTCCTGACCTCAGTGCAAACGAAGAATGCAGTTTCCTTCCGAGCCCTATGAAACTTGACAGAGCTTTTGTCATTTTAGAAAGAACAGGGACACACTGCCTCTTCTAGATGGCAAGGCTACAGATGCCTCTACTCAATATAGGAAGTTTTGAATACCTAGCTGTCAATCACTTTGTTTTGTTTTAATACCAAGTATACCTAGTTTAGATAATTTAGAAATTGATTACAGTTGCACATTCTTTTTAATGTCAAATTCCTATTACATCCATCTTGATTCAATGTAGTAAAATAATGAAATATGAAAAAGTTAGATGGTAGTAACTTCTAATAGACATTGTCTGTATATATTAAATTGTAAGAGATATATATTTTTAAGGATTGGCACTTGTGTAGTCTATACAGGGCTTGTTATATTGATGCTTGTGCAGTCAGGCATGGTTATAAACACATGCTCTCGTAGATCTAGGCTGTCCGTATTGTCAGATTCTCTTTCCGTCTGTCTTGCAAATCTAACATTTCCATTTCCAAGTAAAAGTGAAACCCAACCAAAATAGTCAAATATTGTTCTCACTAGAAACTCTTGAGGGAGCCGGTTTACTCCCCAAAAACAGTCGAGTTCATTGGTGCAGAGAACAGAAGACTCTCCAGTGGCCTAATTCACTGCTGCTTTGAACACCAATGCTAAATGGTTCTGAGTTCTGCCTGGAGAACGGTGCTGATAAATGGTCTCCTGGCTCTTCTGCAAAGAAGTAAATACAAAGCCTCCACACAGACACTTAGAAATATGAGAGCCCTAGATTTATTGGCAAAGAAGAGTTTAACTCTGTCATGGACAAAAGGACAGACTTTAATCCTTGTGCCACTGTTCTTCCAAGAACTGAGGTTTTCATTCTGATGTTGGCTGGAGTGTCTCACATGTTTTTTTTTTATAAAGAAGACAATGTTGTGTTTTAGATTTTAAAGGTCAACTATTATGCAAAATCCACATTTTCAAGTATTTTATACATCAACATGTGTCCCCTCTGTGTAAAGACATTCTGAAAGTTTCAGGAAAAAAGATTCTCTCTCTTTTTGTCCTCATCAATTCATATTAAAACCTGTCTGAAAATGAGCTGATCAGATTTTGGCCATTTTATGATGTCATAACGATTTTTTGGCTTGTGTAACCATTAGCCAAT